TATATATATATATATATAAATTGTTTAGCATTATTTATTATTAATTATTTAGCATTATTTTAGTCTGATGTAATAATTTATTACATTCAAATCAGACCCAAAAAAGGCAATATGACAAACCATGATATAATCCTTTGAGGCAGAATAAGTCTCCATTTCAATATCCCCATTGAGAAAGTGTTGGTGCATGCCATTAGGATTATGCCATTCAAAAAACAGTTTGTTGGGATCACACTGTGTATTGTTTGAGAGAAAGGGAGATGACCTGGACAGCAATATAAGAACTAATATATAAGCAAACAGGATTGAACATTCCTTAAATCCTAAGAAGCAAGATTTGGAAGAGGTCCACTGGGGTATAGAAAGAAGAGTAAGTAAAATACAATCAAGCTTGCAAAGTTTTATTATTATAAACTGTTTCAATAAAGTATAAATCTTATTATCTTATAGTTGATTTTCTGGCCTGTTCTACCTAGTGTGACTGACAGCTTGCATGGTGTGAAAGTTATGGGCATCACATATCATCTGTAGAACCTGCTTGATAATGATGCAAAGGAGGCAGCAATCACAGCCCACATAGCAGCAGTGACATTGTAATGTATAATTAGCCAGTTCTAGAAGCCAAATTTAGACACCTAAATAGAAGATCAAAACCAGGAACACCAAGACAGAAGTCTTAGAAATGCTGTTTGTTTCATGTGCAGCCAACCAGATAGGCAGAGCTCAGAGATCTCAATGCAATTATGGCATGATGGCAGCAGATGGAGATGCTTAGATTTGTTAGTCACTGGGAAACATTTCAGAACAAACTAAAAGTGCATCAAAGGAATCTAGCACATAAAATCTAAAAGGTCACAGACCAGTTTTTAAACTGATTCCTGGGAGGAAATCAACAGGCAATGGGTACCAATCAATTCAGAATGGTGTAAACACCTTTTTAAAAAAGTTAGGACCAAAATTGTACATGGATGCTGGTCATGGCAACCAGAAGATAAAATGATAACAAGACAGCCATGAAAAAACTTAAGCCAACAACTTTTCAATTTTTTTTAAAAAAAGGAACAGAATGCACAGTTGTTTGGATACAATGCTTGAAATCTCCAAAGAATGTTGTAATTGTTGTAATAATGGGGACTTTGATTAACCTAATATAAACTAGATATGTTGTGCTCAGGTTATGACAAAGAGATCACAATAATGGTCTCTTAAAACAGCTGATCTTGAAACAAATAGAGGGGAAGCAAACCCAGATTCAATTATAAGGGGTTACTATGGTTAAGTATTGTAGAACTGACAGGAAACAATGACTGTAATACTATTTTATACAGCATGCAAATGGAAAGCTGCGCTGACTGCAAACTCTAACGCTATCATGTTGACTATAAAAGAGTCAGTCCTCCTGGGCTCATGGCTCCTGTCTGGACAACAAATATATTTGCAAAATTACATCTTATGGAGTAAGTATGGACTGTTCGGAAGTAGCAGCCTTTACACATTGTTACTCATACCATTGTCACTTTGTGTGTGGATTATCCTAATGATTTCTATATAGGACAGCAACATTTTCTGAGTGCCACAAAAAAGGATCTTCTGAAAGACATTTGGGGAGTAATAAGATTATGTTACCCTGAATAGTGATGCCTCAGATTAATTGACTATAATGACATTATTTCTGTTTTTTTTAGTCTTTGATATTAATACTATAAACTGTTCAAAGTCTTTAGAAATGGAATGATATAAAAGTTGCATGCACGGAAAATAGGCTGATAAGTTTTTAGAAAGAAAGACTTACCTCATCTATCACTTTGGCAAACTGCTGAAGAGTAGAATTCATGACTTCATCATCACCACCCAAAGGAAAGCGCTACCAAAAAAAAAACCACCACTTTTTAAATTCTGTATTTATTTTTTTCACTCCAAAAAAAATTCACAGTAACATTCCAAAGGTCTAATAACTTGTACAAATTTTAACATTGCTAGAAAATAAAAGAATCTCGAAGTACTATAACTTGCTAAAGTTTGTTAAATTTATATATATTGTATTGCTATATTTAAAAGGTATCGAAAACACCTGTTGGCCAGGAGAATTGTGCACATGTGTGTGCGTGCACACACATTTGCACATCCACAAGGTCTAGTAAATCCTGTTATTAAATTATGACCATTTTGATAAAAAAAAATTGTCCATTTATGGCAGTTTCAATTTATTTTTATCAGTTTTCCCCTTTCTGTGTTTCTATTTGTTATTTTCTGGTTTGTGTGGTTACAGACATATAAACTTCTCATGTTTTAATCAGACTATGCATGTTTTAATCTCTTATTTCTTTGTAAGCTGCCAAGAGCCATTTGATTTTGCAGAGTAAATATATCATAAGATAAATAAATGTATGTTCTTATAATAACAAAAACTGAGCAAAAATAAAGTGTATAGGCCTTATAAGAATAAATGGAAAAAATAATGAATTTAATTTCTGTGTGCTAACCTGCTGTTAAAACATATAGGTGGAGTTTATATAAGATGCTACAAAACAGGCAAAAACAGATTAGCATAGTCTGTAATTATTTTTCCATGTTGGAGGATCAGTCACTATCCTGATATGTTGTAAAAATCAAGCTGCCACATTAACCCATTCAACTTGGATCAAAACATAACATTTTCATTTTATAAGTGGACTCTACCTGTTTCTCATATTCTTTTAGAAGCTTTGAAGTCAAATGCGTTGCCGCACTGAGTTCATTCTGAAAAAGAGAATTTATTCTGATTTTTAAAAGATTTTTCAAATATAAATGACAATAGGAGTACAATATAAAATAATCAGAGTTAAACAATGTATAGAATAGAATAGAATACTTTATTGGCCAAGTGTCATTGGACACACAAGGAATTTGTCTTGGTGTAAATACTCTCAATATACGTAAAGAAAAGATACATTCGTTAAGAATCAAGAATCATAACGTACAGCACTTAATGATAGTCATAGGGTACAATCAACAATCAAATCATACTAGGAAACAGTCAATATAAATCGTAAGGATACAAGCGACAAAGTTACAGTCCTACAATCACAAGTGGGAGGGGATGGGTGATAAGGAGTGATGAGAAGATTAACAGTAATAATAGTGCAGAGTTTGTAATAGTTGAACAGTGTTGAGGGAATTATTTGTTTAGCAGAGTGATGTTCTTGTGTCTAGTTGTTCTGGTGTGCAGTGCTCTATAGCATCGTTTTGAGGGAAGGAGTTGAAACAGTTTATGTCTGGGATTTGAGGGGTCTGTAAATATTTTCACAGCCTTCTTTTTGACTCGTGCAGTATACAGGTCCTCGATTGAAGGCAGGTGGGTAGTAATTGTTTTTTCTGCAGTCTTAATTATCCTCTGAAGTCTGTGTCTGTCCTGTTGGGTTGCAGAACCAAACCAGTTACAGAGGTGCAGATACTCAAGAATTCCTTTGTAGAACTGTATCAGTAGCTCCTTGGGCAGTTTGAGCTTCCTGAGTTGGTGCAGAAAGAACATTCTTTGTTGTGCTTTTTTGATGACGTTTTTGATGATAGGTGTCCATTTTAGATCATGTGATATAGTAGAACCTAGAAATTTGAAGGTCTCTACTGTTGATACTGTGTTGTCTACTGTGTTGTCTAGTATTGTAAGAGGTGGTAGTATGGGAGGGTTTCTTCTAAAGTCTACCACCATTTCTATGGTTTTGAGTGTGTTCAGTTCCAGATTGTTCCGGTTACACCACGAGGCAAGTTGTATAACCTCCTGTCTGTATGTAGATTCAGCGTTGTCTCGATGTTTCTTGTTTCTTTAACAAAATGTGTATGCTTTTTGTAACAATTATAATTTCCCATTTTTAAAGTGGAATGTTTTATTACAGTGTCATAGACTAGCATACACACTTTTAAAATAGTTAACCATAGATTTAGCTAAACAAATAAAAATTAATCAAATTCCCAGAATTCTGAATGACCAATTACTTATAATAGAAAATAATATCACTCTTTCTAAGAGCAAAAATTAAACTGCACCAAAATATTTGGAAGTAAAATCAACAAGCAAAAAGGACAGTACTGCATATTTATCTGTAGAAGCCTTAATCTATGCAGACTATAGATTCAAAATTACTTGTAGAAGAGGGAAAGTTTTTTTACGAGTACATGCAAATGTAGGTTTTTATGCAGGAAGTTGAAGGGCCACAAATTATGTTAAACTTGCACACAGCTTAATGATAGGCTGTTTTTGTAACATAAAAAAAAGATTTCCTTTTTATGACATATCCTGGGATATATATTCAGCATAAATCAGCTTATTAATTAGTTTACCGGTTGGGCAATCAAAAAGATTGACTGCTCAGGAGGCAAATTAGACCTTGGCAGTTAGGCTTAAGGTGGGGTTTCCAATTTGATATTAAGATTTATTAAGAATCAATCCAATTAACCATATTATACAACACATATAATAACTTAAATTGTTGCATAAAATGCTTACATCTAAATATATTCTTGTTAGAAACTTCTGAAGAATGTCTAAGCTATTTATTAATGTTATTTGTAAACAATTAACATGGAAATATTAAAGGAAAAGTGTATTTCTCTTTTTCTTTTCATTCTTTTTTTCACATTCACATATATTTCCACCCAGTTACTAAAATACCAAGAGTTAAAATTTTGGGTCCAGGTATTCTTCAATTTACAACCACTCATTTAGTTACTATTCAAAGTTACAATGGCACTGAAAAAAGTGACTTGTGACCATTTTTCAAATTTATAACCATTGCAGGATCCTAATGGTCACGTTATCAAAATTTGGGTGCTTAGCAACTGGCATATATTTATGACAGCTGCAGTGTCCCAAGATCATGTGGTCACCTTTTGTGACCTTCTGAGAAGCAAAATCAACGGGGAAGCCACATTCACTTAACAACCATGTTACTAACTTAATAACTGCAATGATTCACTTAACATCTGTGGCAAGAAATGTCATAAAATGGGGAAAAAACTCACTTAAAACTCACATTGCTTAACAATGGAAAATTTGGGCTAAATTGTGGTCGTAAGTCGACAACTACCTGTATAATCATAAAAAGTTGGAGAAATGATTGAAGATTAATTTCTGCATTTTATAGTAAAATTACCTGTGCATCATAAATTCGGTGCATAGCTTTATACAACTGGTTAATATATCTGGAAATTGCAGCAGCATCTTCTTCAAATACACCCAGCAAAGATCGTGTCTAAAAAGAAGACAACATAAATTTTATAATATTGCAACTACACTATTGCAGCTATATTTAGTAAAGTTCTATTTCATGTATGGGTAAGACAGAATCAGAATTCAAAACATTTCTATCTGATCTTTGACACATAGCTAAAAGTTACCTGGCAGAAAACACTTTTTAAGTCTGTATGGCACCTCATTAAAACAAAGTATGCTGACATGACTACCTAAATTCCTTTCAGATTACGTAAGTTCCAGACTACATAAGTTTCTTTCAGTAAAGTACTTCATTTACTATTCTTTTTATGAGCAACAGTGATAGGACATAATAATTAGATATTTGAGCTTTTGTTTTCGCCAGTTATAAAAATTTAACACTGTATATTTTAAATCTACTTTATATTGAATTTGAAATCCAGATACAAGATAAAATTTCCTTTGAGTCAAGCTCTATGCTGGTTACCACATAGATATGTGAACGTTGTTTTCTTGGCTAAAATAAATTTAAAAAATAAATATATTATCTAAATGATAAAGTATAACTCAAGTTAAGCTTTATAATCTTAAAATACCATTTAATGCTGGGTTTTCAAACTGCTCCACACTAACTTATGTGGAAACTGAACAGTAATAGAATAAGACCACTGTCCTTTTATGGATGGATAACTGGCTATAAATACTGTATAAATGGGATAACTAAAATAAATCTTTCCAAGAATCTAACAACATATAGAATTTACATTTGTATGGATAAGAATGAATAGACAAGAAATTTTCTTTTTAAATTCTCATTAACTAATTGATAATGACTTAAGATATTAAGTATATTTTGGGAAAGAATGTATACTGTGAATTCTGTGAAGAATGTATACTGTGAGATTTTTAAAGCTTAAAAAATCTTATAGAGGATAGGATCCTCAGGATTATATGAAACAGAAAAATGAGTGTCTTTCTTCAAAGACAATTTACATTTCCAGTGATAAGACAATCTTCAGGAGGCCTTCCCTGTGAAATATTTGGGCTGGCTACTCTAGGACACAGAATGCTGAAGTAAAGGGCATACAGATAATGTAACACAGAGAGCTTTGCTAAATAATGTTGGCTGGAATTTCCAGGGAGGATGGTTGTCTCAATTATGAAAATTACAAAAGACTGATTAGATAAATGGCCTTAACTAGTTTTAATGCAATTTTAAATTAATTATATTTACAGACTTACAGGAATTTCCACTTCCTTAGAAACAAAAGAACAGGGATGCAAAAATCCAACAAACAAGAGATGGCATCAAAGAGATAGAGAGAACTTTACGTTTGCAGCCTAGATCTGAAAACCCTTTCTATCCATACAAGCAATCACATTTAAAGCACATGCTTAAATGTCAGTCTTTGCAATTTTAATAAATGACTGAAAGTATCAACTTCTTGAATTCTTTTTTCTAATTGAAAACTCATTCTTTGCCTTGTGAAACCAAAATGGTACCATTCAGAAACATTAACAAAATATCAGTAGGCTTGGGAAAATCCCAAGATTTGCCAAAGTATTAAAAAAGGCATCTTCAAGGAAAACATTTAAGAGTAGGAGACAATTAAAGAATGAACTCAATGAAAATATGTTCAGTGATCAAAGTAGGGAGCAGAAGAAGAGTGGAGGAGTAGATGGAATGAAATATTCCAGAAAAGGACATGGCTTGTATTTTATGTGGAAGTATCCCATACTGCAATATTCTTGCAGTATTGCAAGTCCTATACTCTGTCTTTCTGTTTATACTGATGCTAAGTGGTGCTTAGAGATAAAGAGAACATACATGGGGAGCAACTTCTGCAGAATCCAACTAGGACTATGAATTGCATGCCAGTACCTGGGTGTCTTCAGCAGAAAAAACAGTATACTCAGAACTCTTGAAGAAGTAGAATTTTTCACTGGATATGTTCTTGACCAAGAAAAAGTTTTAAACTGCACTGCTGTAATCTTGGGCATGCTGTAGAACAGGTATAATATGCCACAGCATGGATGGTGTCCTTGGCACACAAAGAATTGAATCATTGTCATGGTTATGTTAGCAGATGAGGCCTGAAGCTGATTATAACAACTTGGAGTTAAAACCTATTTTGCCTGCTCCTGACAGGAGGGGAGACAGGACACTTTATAATATAGTAATCAAATGATGCTTAATTACTTTTTAACATAAAAACTATTTATGTTGTTGTATGAAAATAGATTAATAGCATTTACATTACAAAATGAAGCAAAAACATTAATCTGGATCTAATAAGAACATCACTAACTAAACGTATGAACAAGTGCAACAAAGTATTTACAACTGCATTTATTATCTCAAATCTGAATGTCTGAATTTAAAAGTGATAATGTTAACATAAATAAATCAAATCTATTAATAATAACAAGCAACACAAATGCTATGTGTTTTTCTGGAATCCTTCAAGTTCCACTAAAGCAAATAAAAAGGTAAGCAGGAAAAGGTTCCTTCCCTCTCGAGACCCGATTGTTGAATCTGAATGGTTGTAAACAGTGTGTTAACTTTGATCTCAATGACTGTTTTAAAAGGGCAGTTTTAAAAAAATTGAAGTTGTATGCATATTTACTAGAAGTAATATCTTTAAATGATCACTGGCGCTTGCAGAAGAACATGCTATTAAAACTGAATTTTAAAGAATTCTCAAAAGTGGAGGACTGTAAAGATTAATAGATGTAAAGAGCCTAATATGTAAATTCAGGGCATTAAATATATTATATTATATATAATATTTATATAATATGTTATATTATATATTTATATATTATTATATTGTATGTAAAAACTGAACTCAATTCCACAATACAGATTATTTTACCAAAACTGCATCTATCTTGCCCATCAATATAATAGCTATAGCTAAAGATCATAAGACTGAAAAGTGATGCTCAGATACAGCGCACAACAGATCATAAGAGGTTTTTAAAAGATTTTCCTAATTCTTGTTTTTTGCAGCAACTGATGGGATACTGGTCAATACAGATGGTCCTCAACTTACAACTCTTGAGTTAGTGATCATCCAAAGTTCCAACAGCACTGAAAAAAGTGAGTTATGACCACAGTAACCATTCTCATAATCACATAATCAAAATTAGGATCCTTGGCAACTGACTGATATTTATGACAGTTGCAGTGTCCCCGGGTCATGTGATCACATTTTGCAACCTTCTGAGAAGCAGAGTCAATGGGG